TGAGTGAACTGTGCTCCTCACAGGTGCGCATGAAACACCATATTGAATGAGGGCTTCCAGTCTGGCCACCCTGGGCGCTGTGAAGGGCCCTGAGGCTGGGAGACAGGAAGAGCTAGAGAGGTATTTCCAGCAGACTGTCAAAGTGCTAACTTGACAGTGGAAACGTCTTTGTGGGTGACATTCAGGAAAATGTGAAAGAACACCTCTTGATTATATTGAACAGCAGAGGCCGACTGAGATCATGGCAGGCAGTGGCAAGAGTTTGTTTTTGTTACCTTTGCCCCTTAGTCTAGATAATTCAGAATTAACAAAGTACATATTTACAACTGAAGTGAGGAAACTTGTGACTAAGAGAAGGGACCAGTGATTGTCGGTAGCTGTTGAAGAGGTTTTTGGTGAAAATGCCCACTTTGGTGATAATGTAAACAAAGTATTCTTGGTGATACTGCTGGTGGCCATCTTGGCAAACAGTGTGACAGCAGATAATGAATTTGAAATGAATTAGAAGTACTTTTGGAAGTTTAAGAACCTAAGTGACATTTATCACCACGGTCATCAGTCTTCAGACTGGTCCCTTGAAAGAAGGAAAATCCATGATCATGAACAGTAGCCTTGCTGTGAAGGCAGCTGAAATTTTCTCAAAACCTGCAACTAAGCTGGCTGGGGTTCTGGTTCTGGGAAACATGGGGTTTTTCATAGATGTGAGCCCAGGAGCAGCAGTGGCAGTGTCTAGCTACAGGAAGAAACTAGTTCTAGACAATGCTTTTTTTGTGTATGAATAGAGAAACACCAGGAGCTGTTTTTAATAGGCTGCTTTTGTTTATGATCTTTGGAAATTGAAAAGCATTACAACAGAATGTTTAGTACATGTTTGTTTTATCCCCCTGCGGTTGACTACTATTTGTAATGGTCTCATCTTGAGTCTAAATTGAAAAATTGGTGTCTATAAGCTTTTCCTTAAAACTTTCCAACATCTGTGTGTCTTGTTAGAATATATTTCCCTTCAAAAGAATAAGTTAAACAGAGCAGCTGCTTTTCAGAAGATGCTGTGCCTGTAAATGGTATGGTATTCAGCCATCTAGCCATTTAAAAAACAAAAAACGCAGAAGATGCATATTCTGTAGGCATAATACTTTTCTTCAGTGATTAAACCTCTATTAATAGACATGTTAATCCTATGAAGTACTGTATTTCTACACAATTAAAACGTATTAGTGGAGAAAATATAAAAGGAATAGTGAAGTGCATTTATTCCTGCAGTAAATTAAGTCCTGATTAGTTGATTATCAAAACATTATCTGATTTACATTTCTATAGACTTATGGCCATTTGAACAGGAAATTAATTTTGGAAGTAGGTTCAGTGGGTTTAAAGTTCAACAAAGGAGAAAACCCCATTTCTGCTCATATTCTGTTCTCCATTCAGGAGAACCTCAAGCATTTGTTGATTTCTACAGTGGATAAAACGTTAACACTTTAAAGCCAAGAAACCAATGTAAAATAAGCCTCTCTCATGTTTGTCCAGGTATTTATGATTTTTATGTAATGAACTCTTTAAAGTGATTGCCGTGAAAGCATTAAGATTTACTCTAATTTGATATTTATTTACTTAAACATTTGATAAGCAGATGGCTGTATGGTCATGCAGCAGAGGCCAGCTCCCAACATTTTGCTTTCCCACCTCACTGAACTCGCTTCACCCCCCCACAGGCGTGAGCAAGGGGCAGCGGGTGCTCGGCCTCTTGGGCTGCTTTCCCAGCACAGGAGAAACAGCTGCTCTGTCAGAGGTCATATAGAGTGGGCTTCGTCTAGCCAAGACATCTTATCTTTAATCTTACTGCCCTCCAAAGCTTAAAAAGTGCATCCTGTCCTGTCATGGGTGACAGTTTCTCATGCTAGTGAGGTTAAGGTGAACTGAAACTTGCATTATGCCCTTTGACATACCCCCATGCACTGGGGCAGAGGCAGGGAATTCCCTTTCCCATCGAATGTAGCTTATTTATTTATTTATTTGAGATGAACCCTTGTTGCTTCAAGAGATTTCCCCCCTCGGAGATAATAGCAGTGGCTCTCGATGGATCCATTTGTTGCCGTGGTGATGTGCCCACTCCTTTTGTTGGCGCGTCTCTACTTCAATAAGCCCCTTCCTGTTATCGGCCTGGTGAAAATGTCTGCAAGTTCTTCAGAGCTAATAAACAGCATACATCATTCCTTTCATCTGATCACTATAGCGGGGCCTTGTAGTGAGCTTGGAGCATGAATCGTACAGCTGCACTAATGGAACTCTGAAGAATGAGCCCCCGAGTCAGCAGCATGAGTGCATAAGAGGGCCGTAACCTCTTCCCCCTTGTCCCAAACTCAGAAGTGCTGGGGTGCAGAAAGGACCACAAATAGCTGTACCTTTTTTGAACATTAGTGTATTAATCCAGCTGAGTAGCCATTATTTGTTTCAAAACAGAATATAGAGCCATCCCAGTAGCTCAGAATATTTTTGAAGATAGCCCAGTTGACTAAAATTGTCCTGTGTTGGTTTTGTCTTTTCCTTCTCCCCCAGGAATGAGATGGAAAGGCACTTTCTGGAGCTACTTCAGTTTAATATTAATGTTCCTGCTAGTGTTTATGCCAAATACTACTTTGACCTTCGCTCCTTAGCAGATGACAACAACCTGAATTTCCTATTTACTCCTCTTAGCAAAGAGCGAGCACAGAACCTAGAGGTAAGGCTGTGAAATCACTAAGCATGGTTTTCTTTCAGCCACCAAAGCCAACATTTGTGGCTAAATTATATTAAACAGTGATTAGGAAAAGAGAAAGCTGTTAAATTAACAGATTGAAGAGCTTATTGACCCTTTGGCATCATATTTTCTGTGTCTTTTATGGTTTATACAAGGAGCTTACATTAAAAAATTACAGATACTATAATTCAGAATATTTTAAATCAGATTTAGTCTGTCTTTAATAGTTTTCCATTTGAACCTCTACACTTATATATAACCATACATGAATAATTTCTTACAGTTGAATCCCTAATCATACCTACATAGTCTACTTACCACTCTTAACTTTAACTCAGTTTGCAGTTCATGTCAGTGTTTTCTGTGTATATATCACAGTTCAGTCTCATGAGTTTATTAGACAGAGCATCAGTGGCAAACCTGAGAGGCCTGTACTTGGAATGAATAATGCTGAGTGTACCCGGTTATTTAATGGAAATGGTAATGTATGTGGGATAAAGTAATATTTATGGCTTATGACTTTTGGTGGGTGTACAGTGAAATTCACCACTGAAATGGACACATTTAAAATTGACACTTTTCGTGGTACCTTGGTGGTACTTTAGAATAAGATGTTTCTCTACCGTAATTAATGTGTAAGTGCAGCAGCACCTCCGGTGTTTTCAGTCATTAGACCTCTCCTACCTTCCAATCAAGTCCACACTCTTGCCTCACTAATATTTTCTTAGAGTATATAATAACTAATGAAGATTGGATAGAAGTAGAATTGCTGAGTAAACACTGATTTTGTCCAAGTATATGTTCGTTATGTTTTTAAGGAACAAGTGTGTAGGTAACAGTTGATACTGCAGTTAGGAGCCTATCTTGGGAACCCAATTTTTAAATAACTCTAAGTAAATTTCCCCTTGCCCCAGCAATCTAATCCAGTGAATCGGCAGTTTGTAGCATCCCAGAATCTGGAAGTGTAGACGTCAGCTGTGCAAAGTAGCAGCAACTAGGAGTTATCCAGTCGGGTATGGATGTGTGGCTCATTGATGATGCTTTTTTTTTTTCAAGGTTGGGCCCTTTTTTTTTTTAATTATACCTTTGTTCTGTTTGACTTTCCCAGGCTATTTCCAGATTGTGTGATGACAAATACAAAGACATGTCCAGAGTTGCTATGAGAAGATCTTTCAGCGCTGATAATTTCATTGGTATTCAGCGCTCCAAAGCCATCCTCTCTTAAGGGAGAAGTGAGGGGTTGTAACATCATAAACCCCTCAATAACAAGGACTGGAGAAATATCACCTCTCCTGCTCAAAAACCAGCAAAGTTAGTATTTTCATCTAAAAGAAAGATATTGAATTCAAGAGATTCATAGACAGCAAGGATTATGCTCATAGGAAAGAATGGGACCTTGTCAGTGCAACACACTCTTCTGTCCTTTTTAATGTAAACAGAGTTACAAAAACCACTCCAAAGCTAAAAGCTCCCAACTCTGCTCAAAAACCAGCAAAGTCAGTATTTTCATCTAAAAGATAATTGAATTCAAGAGATTCATAGACAGCAAGGATTATGCTCATAGGAAAGAATGGGACCTTGTCAGTGCAACACCCTCTTCTGTCCTTTTTTATGTAAACAGAGTTACAAAAACCACTCCAAAGCTAAAAGCTCCCAACTCTGCTCAAAAACCAGCAAAGTCAGTATTTT